GAGTTCACGAATCTTCAAATGCATGACTTCCAGGGTTTCGCATCAGCGGGAATGGGCTGGATGATCAATCTCTGAATCTGAAACCCCTTCCGCCTTCTCAGGATCCCAGGAAAGCACAGGAGGGGAGCAGGGACCTCACCCTGGGTGGCCGTGGCTTCTGCTCAGACTATGACCATGAGGGTGTGCAGCAGGGCTCAGTGGTCACCCCGTGTCTTGGGGTTAAGGTTACCTGTGAACAGTTTTCCTTAAAAACCCTACCAGCAGACTGGCGGTTTTTGAATTAGTTATTGGAGCTTGAACAACTCAAAAGCATCATCAAATTAAAGCCAGGCAGCCTCGTGCAGCTGTTATTACCCTAATGACACTTCTGGGTTCCGCAAACACAGAGCCAAAACAGGGAGCACTGAGAGAGTAACCTCGGGAGCTGTGCAGCAGTCAATGCCCTCGGTCACCCAGAGACACCCATCTCCTCTCTCCCAGAAGCGATTGCTCACCCTCATCATGAGGCCTGGGAACGGCATCATTAAGTCTGATCTTCTTAACCTCAGGAGTACTAAGAAAGGCTGTGAATAACTTACTTTTAAAATGTATTACTTATTTAATTTTATCTCTTAATTTCAAACGTACAGAAAAGCAGGAAAGGTCAGTACAATGCATGACGCACCCTCAGCATTAAGCTGTGGAGTTTTAGGATCTGCCACTGTGTCCCGATGCCTGGCTGTCTTCTCTCTGCACCCGAGTCTGGGGAAGATCGGAAGATCTCTCTGTGGTTCTTTCCGTCCTTACATCTGCACCACTAGGGGAATACAGAAGGCTGGATTTGAGCACCAGACTCTGTTTGAAAGGTATCTCACAAGATTGTTTTCTCTGTACAGCTGTGAGATCAGTTGGACATAAAGTTAGGCCCACTAGTTTCTGTTTCGCTTCAGCTTTCGGATTCGCTTGCTCTCTTTGATGAGTTTACTTTTGAAATATGTAGAGCATTTACAGGGTACAAAAACCAAAGCAATATCAACAGGCAGCCCTAAAGAGGCGGGAGTCCCGCCCTGCAGACAACCATCTTTAGCCTGTCTCGGTTTGTCCTTCTTTATTTCTTTTTAGAAAAGCAAATCAGTGGAGATGTTCCCATTCTCCCCTTTCTCACACAAACGGTGGCCACTGCAGAAGTCCTGAGGCTTCGTTTCTCTTCATTTAGGGGTCGCCCTGGAGAGGGCCCCACGGCTACAAAGCAGTCTGCTGTGCGTCCTGAGGGGCTCAAAGCCAAAGGGTGCTAAACTCAGGGAGCTGAGTCCTCCTTTCATTTCCTGTGTGTCATCGCACAATTGAAAGAACTGCCCAGTGCGGGAACAGGCCTCACACCCTACCTCTGCATTTGTCCCCCAAGGAAAGGACACTGTGGGCCACAGAAGGTGGGATTCTTGGTTCGGAGTAGGAGTGTGTGCGCCTGTGGAGGACAGGTCGCCTCTGTGGTTCTGTGGCTCGTGACATGGGTCGTCGTCTTTCTCCGCGGGGTTCTGTTCAGAGAAAGGAAGCCCAGCCCAGTCATATGGTGCATTTTGCATTTGAAAGTGAGGAAATGAGGGATGAGGGAGTAGTGCGTTCTGTGGGTGAGAAAGGATATTGCAGAGCCAGGTGAGGAGGCGCTGTCCGTAACCCCAGACACTTGGGAGGCTGAGGCAGGACAGCAGCAAGTTTGACCCAAATAAAGTAAGAACACTGGGTATGCAGCTCAGTGGCTCAGGGCTGCTGCTTCCAGCCCCAGTGGTGGGAGGGAGGGAGGGAGGGAGGACAGTGGCGATGGCCCCTCGTCTCCTGCTGCATGTTCCATAGCACCCGGTGACTGTGCCATTTCAGTCACTCTGGTGGCCGAGCCCAGGATGCTGGGCTGCAGGGAGCAGAGCAGACCCGCAGGACATGATGGGCCATTTGCCTGGGTGACAGCAGCCATCCCTTGGGTCTGTGGGCCGCGTCCTGACTGGCTCCGGATGCCCACACCTGCAGGGGCCGAGGCCCGCCGAGCTGGCGCCCTGGGCTTGCCCGGTGCTGTGAGCTGGTGCTGCTGCCACCCCCACCCTGGATGTGAGAGACGTGGGGCCACGGTAATTTGTTCCTGGTCAACATGGGCCTGAGGCAAAAATACAGTCACAGTGGTGTGTGTGTGCACACGAGCACATGTGTGTGGCTGCACGTTTGCACACTTGCCCCTCGCTCACTTGCACTCTCCCTCACTCCTCTGGGTGCCCTCTCTCACTCAAAGTCTCCCACATGGCTCCTGTGCCCCCACCGCTCCTGGGTGCACCCAGG